ATCTGTTCTACTCCCTTCACATCTGCATTGGAGGTCTTGGCTAAAGATCATTACAGCCACAAGCAACAAAGTAACTAAATACGAATTTTCCAAATGAGGCAATAACCAACTATTATTACTAGTTAAAGAAGTAGCTAGAAAAGAGTACTGCAAGTACAAAAATTAGTAGCAGTCCCCAAAATAAACTAGTACGGTTTAACTCGACGTTTTGCTTGTTCGGGTTTGGTTGTGTCATAATTGTGCGCTTTATAAAGAGCTTACCTTTGAATGAACTGCATTGCTGAGATAGAGCCCAAGAAAAAAACTGTAGGCACAGCTAGCCCATGAACAGCCAGCCATCTAACCGTAAAGATGGGATAAGTTCTATCGATAGTCATTTAATATCTCCTATAGCGATCTGGTAAATTCGTCTAGTTGCTCTAGAGAGTTGAAACGTCCAGTAATTAAAGGAACTTCTTGACGACTCTCTGTAAAGTATTCGTTAGGACGAGGACTTCCGAATACGTCATAAGCAAGACCTGTGCTAACGAACAACCAACCCGCTATAAATAGCGAAGGGATTGTAATGCTATGGATAACCCAGTAACGAATACTGGTAATAATATCTGCAAAGGGGCGCTCTCCCGTATTCCCAGACATGGTTAGCTCCGTGTGTAAAGATAAGACAAAGTATAAAGTTAATAAAGAATGTGAGCTGTTTAGGCTCTTTTCTATTTTGTCTTATCAGGTGGTATTATACTAAGAGTATTTGCAAAACATGCTAAGTAAGTATAACCAAGATACCTTTCGCACAGCAAGGCACTTTGTCCCATTGTCAGTTAATAGTATTTTACAAAAAATACGGTGAGAATATACAGTCACACATAATTCGATAAAAAAAAATATCAACTGACTTGCGACAATTATTAAAAAGAAAAAACTATCTTCTTTTTTTTATAGAATAGGAAAAAGTATGCAAAGTATCTTTCTAGTACAAAAAAATATCAATAGATGATTTTTGTAGAAAAAAATCAATTAGTTAATTGAATTCCATACATTCATACACCAAAGATCTCCTCATTCCTTCCAATCCAGGAGAGGAGATCTCAAAACTAACACTTTATTTTTAGTAAACAAGGGTTCCTGAATTAGAGTTCCTTAGACGATTTCGTCTTGTTCAATGTACAAGAAGAAAGAAGCAAAAGCTACAGCTGGAAATACTAAACCTACCAAAGGAACCAAAATAGAAGGTAGATAGGAAGCGGTCATGGATGTGTTCCCTCATGTAATATATACCTTGTGAGATAATTTATCACAAAGTAAATTCTTGAATATCTAAGATATGAATCTATGTCTAATTTACTAAATAAATTAGTGGACCTAAGAGTCTTCTCTGTATCTCATAACTATTGTTAAAAAATAAGTTCTCAAGTCATACTAGTATTTATATGACTTTTGATAAGAGATACCATCTATATCGAATCGAATTGAGAATAGAAAAACAATCGTTCTATAAAATAAACGCTTTCTGCACTGATAACGTCTAACAGACGATTATATAACAAGTTTATGTAATACACAATCTATTCTGTATTACTATACAAAAAATATATCATTAACATACTATCAACATGTTATTGGGATTTCTTTTGTATTTTTACAAGGAGCAGATTTATAAAGTTCAAACAATTCTCCTAACACACCTTTCAAAATGGCTCTAGGAACAATTAAATCTAATAATCCATGATCTAATAATGATTCAGCTACTTGAAACCCGTCAGGTACTTCCTGTCGTAAAGTTTGTTCAATAACACGTTTGCCAGCAAAAGCAATATATGCTTTCGGTTCAGCAATAATGATATCACCTAACATACCAAAACTAGCAGTAACACCTCCTGTAGTTGGATAAGTAAGAATAGATATATAAAGTAACTTATGTTGAATTTGATGAATTTGTAAAACAGAAGCAATTTTTGCCATTTGCATTAAACTTAGTGTACCTTCTTGCATACGTGCTCCTCCAGAAGCACATACAATAACAAGTGGTAATTTATGTTGCGTAGCATGTTCAATTAATCGGGTAAGTTTTTCGCCAACTACTGATCCCATACTGCCTCCCATAAATTGGAAATCCATCACTCCTAATGCAATAGGAGTACCATTCAGTTCTCCTACACCAGTTTGAACAGCATCTGTCAATCCTGTACGTATTTGATTTTCTTCAATCCGATCTCTATATGATTGTTGATCGAAAAAATCTAATACATCACAAGGAAGCATATCTTCGTCCATAGGTTCCCAAGTACCAGGATCAATCAGGAGTTCAATTCTTTCTGTACTATTCATCTCTAAATGATAGCCACATTCTTCACAAATACGTTGATTTTGTTTTAAAAATCGTACATATAGCATGCTTTCACAATTATCACATTGTGTCCATAATCCTTCGCTAGGATCAGATTCTGGATATTTTGGCTTTGGCGTAGTAAGTAGTTTAAGCCTACGTTTTTCTTCAAACCAATCAACTAATGACATAACTAAAATCCTCCTTGTTTTAATAGAAGCACAGTCAATACTTATTGAGAATAAGCAGAACCGATTGTAATATATTCAGTGTGATATATATATTATTTGCAACATAAACTTATTCCAAACTAACTTACTATTTATGTAAAATAGAAAAAGCAATGGAATGCAATACACCTTTCTTGAATAAAAACGTTCATTTTCCATGAATAAATTGTCTTCCAACTGAGTTGGAAGTATAAAAAAAATATATCCAAGATATCAGGAGACAAGGGGCTAAAATAACAAGGGATTAAGTATCTACGTATCTAGTCACACTTTGGTAGTATAATGGCATAATATAACAATATCAGGAATTTTGAATCGGAAGAAAGTATTAAACAAATCCTCATAGAAGAAGAAATACCACAAAAGGTCTCTTGAATTCTCAATCCAAGAACTGTTGTATTTAAAACCATCGGATGCAAGTAACCAAGATGAATAACTCGAATAAGAAAAATATCAAATGGATATACTTCGCCTAATGAATCATAGGATATCCAGAGGAATTTCTATTACAAGAATATTAGATGAAGTGCAAAGAAGAGTATGTTAACCTTACACAATTGATAGAAATATCCAAAACATTCTATTCAATCGAATAAACATTCCCCTACTTATAACTCTTCCAAAAAATAGAAAAAGAAAAGTTGCTCTATTAGATTAACGTTCAACTTATTATAGATCTCCATTCACAAGGAACTAAAAGCACATAAATTATTATAATAATAAAAGCAAAATATATTGCATATATAAGAACAAATAGAATTGCAGTCTTTATTTTTATAATGTTTATAAAAACAATGTGTCTAGAAATTGGCAGAATAAATAACAATATGTTTTTTTTCTAATGATAAATAGCACTCTGTAATGGGCAGGAAGGGATTCGAACCCTTAGCCTTATAGTTCGGAACCATATGCTCTAATCCATTGAGCTACAAGCCCATTCATAATAAATAATAGAAAAAAAATCTAAAATTTTCTGATTGTTTTTTAGAACCGAAATAGCGACTATTTTAAGATTTTTGAAAATGGGAAGATTTCTAAAAAATAGAAATATCAATTATGTATCCAAGAAGTTATGATAGATTCTTTTTCTGATTCTGATCTATCTTTTCTTAAAAAGAAAAAACACTATTCATAGTATAGAAATAGACAAAAACATTAATGGAAACATGCTTAGCTTAATAAATTGTGAACACTACCAAATAGAAATGGTAGTGTTCCCCGAAGCCAATGTTTTCAACACAGATCCGGGATCTATCAAAAAACTATGAGATAAAGGAATTCAAGATGCCCACTAGGAACACCAAACCAATCCATAGAGAAGCCCCGGAAAAAACTGTATTTTTGCTAGTTGACCAACCATCTGGTGAAGCAAGCACTACAGGCACACCAATCACCAAAAGAAAGGAAAGAATAATTAATGCGAATACAGCTAGTTGAAACAGAATTGTCATGGCTATAATACTCCAAACGTTTTAACAAATTGGATATGCCATACTGCTCAATCTCATAACAACGACTGTTGTGCTATATATAGCAACAACGAGTTAGATTGTGGAGAGCATCACGACTATGTTACTCCTCAGACCTCTTTGAAACTTTAAGTTATACTTTCTGCTTCAAAAACCACTTTTTTCTCTACTAAGAAATTCTATTCAAGAAAACAATGTAAGAATTTGAATAGAAGAAAGAAATTTCCTAGAAACTGATATATCAAGATCTAATATCCTTAAAGTACAAGTTTTCTTTTCTTGCGAGAGAATTTCATGAACGCATGTGAAATAATAAAACACAAAAGCATTAATGTCATATTCTCAAATTAAGCAATATGCTTATTCTCTCTTATTTTGTTATCTCATCACTAATAATATGAACTCTTGATTCTCATGTCAACAAGTTTTGTGATGATTTACAATCAATCCCTTATTTCCGATGACAGTTTCCCTTGAAATAAAAAAGACACATCTATTTCCGTGCCATTTCTCCCCTTCCAGATTTATTTGATCAATAAAAATATTGAATTCTATTTTGAAGAAAATTCCATTTAATATAAGTATATTTTCCGTATAGTCTTATGACAAGAATCTGTGAAAGACATAAATTTATAATATCTTCAAAAAAGATGATGAATTGACTTGAATAGAATACAAAAAATCCAATTTTGCTGATATTGTCTAAATTCTCTATTGAATAATCCTTTTTTTTATTCAAAAAACGATGAATTGATACATTTTGTGCAAAAATGTTCTTTTCAGATTGATCTTTTATTAGAAAGAAAAGAGAGGTTATGCAAGGGCGCAAAGCGCCCCGCATTCAGATACAATACAAACGACAAACTTTGTTGAGAGATCCTAAGAATACTAATCTATTTATTTGATCACTTAGTTTAAAGGATTCATAAATAGAACTGGTTCTGTTTCTCTATCAATTCCTTTTTCGAAACCAGCTGCAGCAGCACGTGCTCTTCCTGCATGCCAAAGATGGGCAACAAAGAAAAAGAAACCTAAAACAAAGTGAGAAGTAGAAAGCCAACTACGAGGAGATACATAGTTAACTGCATTAATTTCTGTAGCTACACCACCTACAGAGTTCAAAGAACCTAAAGGAGCATGAGTCATATATTCAGCAGAACGTCTTTCTTGCCAAGGTTGAATATCTTTTTTCAATTTAGCTAGATCAAGACCGTTAGGTCCTCTTAGAGGCTCTAACCATGGAGCTCTAAGGTCCCAAAAACGCATGGTTTCTCCACCAAAAATAATTTCTCCAGTAGGAGATCTCATCAAGTATTTCCCTAGACCTGTAGGTCCTTGAGCAGATCCGATATTAGCACCTAGACGTTGGTCTCTCACCAAGAATGTGAAAGCTTGAGCTTGAGAAGCTTCAGGACCGGTAGGACCATAAAATTCACTTGGATAAGCAGTATTGTTAAACCAAACGAAGCAGCAAGCAATGAATCCCATTGTTGCAATAGCTCCTAAGCTATAAGAAAGGTAAGCTTCACCAGACCATACGAATGCACGGCGAGCCCAAGCCCATGGTTTAGTTAAGATATGCCAAATACCTCCAAAGACACAGATGAAACCTATCCAAATATGACCACCAATAATGTCTTCTAAGTTATCTACACTGACAATCCAACCGTCTCCACCAAATGGAGATTTCAATAGATATCCAAAAACAACGCTAGGATCAAGAGTTGGATTGGTAATCTTACGAACATCTCCACCACCAGGTGCCCAAGTATCATACACACCACCAAACCACAAAGCTTTGAAAACTAGTAGGAAAGCACCTAAGCCTAAGATAATCAAGTGAATACCTAAGATGGTAGTCATTTTGTTTTTGTCTTTCCATACATAGCCAAAGAAAGGGAATGATTCTTCTAAAGTTTCTGGACCAATCAGTGCATGATATACACCACCGAATCCTAATACTGCAGAAGAAATAAGATGAAGAACTCCAGAGACAAAGTAAGGGAAGGTATCAACTACTTCTCCACCTGGCCCTACACCCCAACCTAGGGTAGCCAAGTGAGGTAATAAGATTAGACCCTGTTCATACATGGGTTTCTCTGGCACGAAGTGAGCTACTTCGAACAGGTTCATAGCTCCTGCCCAGAAGACGATCAATCCTGCATGAGCTACGTGAGCACCTAATAGCCTACCAGATAGATTGATTAGTCGAGCATTACCAGCCCACCAAGCAAAACCGGTGGTCTCTTGATCACGACCACCTACAGCCAAAGTTCCATTAAAGAGCGTTTCCACGTGGTAGAACCTCCTCGGGGAATACAAGGTTTTCATGAGGCTGATCTTGAGCCGCCATCCAAGCACGGATACCTTCATTTAGAAGGATATTCTTAGTATAGAAAGTTTCAAACTCAGGGTCTTCTGCTGCACGAATTTCTTGGGAAACAAAGTCATATGCTCGTAAATTTACAGCAAGACCTACTACTCCAACAGCACTCATCCACAATCCAGTTACAGGCACAAACAACATAAAGAAGTGTAGCCATCGTTTGTTGGAGAAAGCAACCCCAAAAATTTGAGACCAAAAACGGTTCGCAGTAACCATGGAATAAGTTTCTTCAGATTGAGTTGGGTTGAATGCACGGAAAGTATTTGCACCATCTCCATCTTCAAATAGAGTATTCTCTACTGTAGCACCATGAATTGCACAAAGCAACGCAGCACCTAATACACCAGCTACTCCCATCATGTGGAATGGGTTTAGAGTCCAGTTATGGAATCCTTGGAAGAACAAGATAAATCTAAAGATAGCTGCTACACCAAAACTAGGTGCAAAAAACCATCCTGCTTGTCCTAAAGGATAGATTAAGAATACGGATACGAAAATAGAGATTGGGCCAGTAAATGCAATTGCGTTGTAAGGACGTAATCCTACAGATCTAGCAATTTCAAACTGACGCAACATAAATCCGATTAGAGCAAAAGCACCATGAAATGCTACAAAAGTCCACAAACCACCTAGTTGGCACCAACGGGTGAAGTCTCCTTGAGCTTCAGGTCCCCATAGCAACAATAAAGAATGTGCCAAACTGTTAGCAGGAGTGGAAACAGCAGCAGTTAGGAAATTGCAACCTTCTAGATAAGAACTAGCTAGACCGTGGGTATACCAGGAAGTTACAAAGGTAGTTCCTGTGAACCAACCACCCAATGCAAAGTATGCACAAGGAAATAACAAAAGACCAGACCAACCCACAAATACAAAACGGTCTCTTCTTAGCCAGTCATCCATGCTGTCAAACAGACCTTGAGGCTGTTTGGAGGACTTTCCAATGGCTATAGTCATAAATGTTCTCCCATCCAACTATGTAGGTCATTATGAAGCACCATTGTTCTGCCTATTTCCACATATCCATGCATCTATAGGAAAGTTATGCAAATATCTATAAATAATAGGATTTATAAGAAATAATATCCAATCGAGTTCTATCCCTATAGAATCTAGAGATAAAGATTTGGTATACATTATATTGCATCCAGAACTGGTTCGCTTCTCTTTTCTTCTTGCCTTTTGGCACTTCTCTTTCTACCTGAGTCTTGTTAATTAGGCAAGTCCTAACTTGAAGAATATTAGTAAATTGTTTTAAGTATCAGTAGTAAATAAATATGGTAGGATATTCCACATCGTTCTTAAATTTAGAAAATCTTTGAAATATTTACAATATCGAACGTCATTATAACAAACATCTGATCAAAACGTAGCTTTACTTACTTTGAAAACAAAAATCATTAGAAGAATTCTATACAAGAATTCAACTGGTAGGAAAAGCATAGTGTATTTACTTAACTATATTATAGTTGCTCTTCAGCAAATGAACAATTTATTAGATTCCTAGCTTGAAATAAATTCATATTTCTCTTATATATGTCTACTAAAATTATAGGCATAATAGCTTTATTTTAAAAGGATAATATTTTTATTATTTTATAAAAGTAATACTATAATTTATTATTAATTAAAATTTTTAATAAAATGTGTTAAAGCACACTATTTACTAGTCAAATATACTAATACAATTTCTATATCTAGAAAAACCATCTTATTTATTATATTCCGAATAAATTTGATTGATTTTTTTTTCTATATCGAAAGTACGTGTGAAGAATTAATATTATTTAGTAAGAAAAACATATTGTTAAAAAAAATATATAGATAAGACAATTTCTTATTATGTTATTAGTATTTTGTGAAAATGTTTAACAGCTTGACGATAAATACTAAATATATTATAATGAATATAAGGCGGAGTGGAGCAGTCTGGCCAGCTCGCGAGGCTCATAACCTTGAGGTCGCATGTTCAAATCATGCCTCCGCCCTTTTTGTTTCTATAAAAAAAAATTCTATAGAATCTCACTTATTTTGTTGCTAATCATGATAGATAGGATCACTAATTCTCTACATAGTTATTCTTAGTACATATAGAGAGAATTAGTGAAAATTATAACAAAACTCATCATGAATAATATTATTCATTCATTGTATGATAACTCACTACAATTGAAGGGGAAATACGATTTAAATGACGAAAAATCCAATATTTAAAGACTGTATCTAATATTACAGGAAAAGTAGATACAAAACATGAAATAACATGTTTGTTATGTGAAAAGCCAAGATGTTCTAATACAAAACCTATAAAAATCTCCCATCCATGAGGAGAATGAAACCCAATACACAGATCTGTTAATAAAAGAATAAAAAAAGCTTTCATAGTATCACTTAAACTATAGAAAACTTCTTGTATCCATGAATTTAATATAGCTAATCTTTTTTTTCCCCAAATTAATAAAGATATGATTACTGCAAGGGATATCAAATTTGCAAATAAATTTAAAACAGTATGAATACTTTCTTGGTTATATGTTTCTACTAAATCAATAGTCTTTTGATGAATTTGTGCAGAAAGATCTTGAGGTTGTCTCGCTGAAGAATCAGCCATTATAATATCTAGCCAAAGTAATTCTTCTACTTCTTGAAGTCTTCTTAATGCTTTTTCTTCTTGTGAAAAACTTAAAAAGACTTGAGATTGAGTAGTGTTCCACCAATGTTCAATCCAAGATTCTAAAAAGACTATTTTACATGTATTAGAGATTAACCAAGGACATAATACAAGAAAAAGCATATATTGCAAAGAAGCAACTGCTTGGTACTTAGCTAAACGAAATTCTGGGAGTACCAATGATGCAGAACGTCCTTCTAATTCTGTTTGAAATCTAGAAAGAGTACGAGTAATAGATCTAGGTACAAGTCCTAAAGATTCATAAGGTATATCTTTAGCTTTCAATCCCAAAGGCGCAAGATAAAAGGAAGGAGCTCCCACTTTGGGATTATACTGAGACATTAACGTATAAAATGCCCAACATTCATTTTTTAAGAAGTCTAAATCAGCTAAAACTGCTTCAATCCATGCAAGTTTTCTATTTAATTTTGCTAACTCTCTTTTATAGTTTGTCGAATTGACAGGATAGAAATAGATATTATGAATAATAGATTCTTCTTCTGAAATGTTTGGAATATACCAATTCTCATTTTCTTTGCTTTCAGAAAAAGAAAATTTAGGATTTTCGGTACTGAACCTTTTGGAATCGAGTGATTTTGAAATCTGAAACTCTTTTGCTTCCCTATCTTCAATATTCCAAATATTTTCTTTTTCTAATTTTGAGAATTTTTCTTGTGATAAAATTTTTGATTGGGTATCTAATACATCCATCATTTTATCCTGGAAAAAATTTTGAATCAGATTACATAAATATTTAGTTATTTTAAATTCTAATAGACCCCAATAAATTTGCGAAGCAGATTGATTTAATACACTATCTATATAGACAGCTACATTATACCAGGAACGTCTTGAAGAAGTTCCGATTGAATTTTTATAAGATAAATAATCTTTCTGAATATTACGAACTCTTTTGCTTGCTTGATATGCTTTATTTAGGGCACGATATGGAGTACTTAAAAGCCATCGACACATTTGTGAATGATAGAATTGCATAAGCAATATTCATTTATGTTTTCATTATATAAACAATTTAAGTACCAAAGTCTTATTGATAAAAAAAGAAAGTCTATGTGTAAAACTCTTTTTACAAAATAGTAAACTCAGCAAATTTATTAAATTGTATATAAATTAGAAATTGTACAAGCATTTTTAAAGATCAATGATAAATTAATATTCAAAAGGGGAAGTGCCTGTGTCTTTCATAGAATATCAGAAATATTTCTGATATTCTATTACAAACCTTCTATTGGCACACGAAGAAAACGTGCTAACTGTGCAGCTTTTTCTTCCATTTCACTTAAGGTTAAGGATTCCCCCATTTGAGTTAATGGAATATCTTGTTGACCTTTTAATCTAATAGAAATCATACGACGAGAACCTAAGTTTTCATTCACTTCTAAACGTATAGCTTGTACATCTTCTACTAAGCAACGAATACGAATTCGACGATTTTTTCCAGGAAATCCCCATCGAAAAATAGAAATAACACCTTCACGACGATCAAATTCATTATATCCACTACCTACACCCCAAATTATCGCACACCAAAGATATACACTTAAGAAAAAACCGCCTATGCCATAAAAAGACATTACTAAACCTTGAGGTGTAAAAGAAATGGATTGAGATCGCAAAAAAGGAACTATGTCTTGTCCAAGATAACTAGATAAACCTACTAAAATAAATCCTAATGCACCTAAAAAAACAATAGAAGCCCATATAAAATTACTAATTCTTCTAGAACCTGCTATGGGTTCTATCCAAAGAAATTCCGACTTTATTTCCATTATATATCTCCTGATACCAATGATTTTTTCAAAAAAAAATATTTCAAAATATTGTTACTAAAAAATGATTAGATCATATCACATAATCAATATTCGTAATAATATGTTACTACAATTTTCTACAAGAAAATATACCAAAAGAATGCCAAAACATATTTCTTATAGTTATAAAATAGACAAAAATTCAATAAAGAGGTTTTCACATTCAAAACTTCTATTAGGAATATAGTTTATTCTATTGATTCAGTAATTTAGATTGTATTTTCTTATAGAAAAGAGTAAAAGACATATTTTTCTCTTAAAAATTCTATTGAGACTAAAATTTTTATGTTTATAACAATCAGATTCTATTAATGATCACCTTCTGGAAAAAGAATTGCTTTTTTTACGTAGAGAATTTTGGAATGTGTAAGTATACTAAACCTGATATTGTTATTAGGATTCTCTTATGCTGACTATTATTAGCTACTTTGGTCTATTATTAGCGACTTTGCTATTCACAATAGTACTTTTTGTTGGTCTTACAAAGATCCAACTGATTTAGAAGGTTGCATAATGGTAACACCAGAATAAACCGATCATATCAGTTTAATAATTCTCAAATAGAGTTCTTTTCTATATGATAAAAAGGTGTTACTTGGTTTAAGGATTTTATACAATAAGAATTCACAGAAAAACAAGGAGTCACTATTTATGGTTGAGCCTTTATTGTCTGGAATCGTGCTAGGCATGATTCCTATCACCATGGCTGGATTATTTGTTACTGCATACCTTCAGTATCGACGCGGTGATCAGCTAGATCTATGATTCTATGGCTGCTCAAATTGAGCAGCCATAGAATCATAGATCTAGGAAGTAGAACAATTGTAAGTTTTTTTAATACTTACAATTGTAGATTAAGTGAAAAATATACAGGGAAAAAGAAACAAAATCATTTGCATATGGATAATTCATTTTTTAAAAAAGTATGATATCTGATGAATAAAATTTTCTATTCAGATCGTATGCTTTCCATTATTTCATTAGTCACACGCCCTGTAGGACTTGAACCTACGACATCAGGTTTTGGAGACCTGCGTTCTACCACTGAACTAAGAGCGCATACATGATTTGAGTATTCACAAAAATAATGTAAGAAAGAAAAATATCCTCTTTTTGAACTTTACGAAAAGACTCAATTTCATCTGCAAATAAACCTTAAAATAATTCTAACCAGCAATGAAGGTGGGGATGACAGGATTCGAACCTGCGGCATTTTGTACCCAAAACAAATGCGCTACCAAGCTGCGCTACATCCCCTGTTTACAAGATAAATTATATGTTATATCACTAAAAATTAGCTAGTATATTTCATGTTGTTTCAGAAATCACAAGAAACATATTTCTTGAAGAAAATATATACTTTCTCTCAATTGATGAAATCTTTTAGAATGAACGATTCTAGTATCGATCCTTTTTATACTAAATTAAGATTGTTAGAAAAAAAGATGAATATATTTGAAGTATAGAAAATTTAGAAAAAAAATGAATCATAAATCATTTTTTCATCATTCCTTCCATTATTTCTTAGAATTCTCTTTTGATGAAAAAATGTATACATGACTTCTCTTTCATACATATAATTAAGTAAGATTAATATGGTGTTATGAGTAATTTATACTAAAGAAAATGGGAAAGTGCCAATCACAAGATATACAAAGGTAATTTTTCATTTTTTTAGATATGGTATGAAATTACTTGGATGTACTCTATGCTTGTG